AAACAAACATTGGGTGCTAATGGACATCTTGGGGAGCGTGAGGTGTTCCAAACCAGCTCACTGTAAGCCAGCAAGTGTGAGCTCAAAACTGAAGCTGAACTCTGACCCACATATGAGCTATGGATTCCTGGCTTATTCGCACAAATCACTCCTTATAAAGCAATTTTTTTATCACATTCAGTTTGAAAAGGAACACGCAGAACCCAAAGCACAGCAGCCTTACAGCGAGTTCCAGACGTGAGTGGCCCTGCAGGACCTGAGACCACAGAGAGCCCAACCCAGGGTCCCTGTGCAGCACCTCTGTCCCAGCCTGGGGGGACAGACACAGCTGCCTTGGCTGAAACACAGCCTGGCCTCAGAGAAGGGACACCACAGGCAGATCTGGCCACCCAGCTGCAAAGGCAGCTCCCCCAGGCAGTGTCACCCCTGGAGGCAGCTGGCCAGCTCTGTGCTGCTCTCCCTCCTCACCTAACCCATGCTCAGTGCCAAGAAGTTATCTGCAAACTTTTTCCATTTCCGCTGATGTGGCCACAGGCATACTTGCCTTATGAAAATAAATTCACCATTCAGACTATGCCTTTTTCCCCCCACAGCCAAAATCCTGCTCTTTTGTCTGCCTGAAAAGAGTGGGAACCATGGAACAAATATTATTTTAAATGGTTCAGTAAAGATTTTGGTTTAAGGAGCAGCAATCTGCAAAAAATGGGTAATGGTATAGCATGCATCAGTATGCTGATAGCAAATAATGGAAATATATTAAATATACCATTTATACAAGTGTACCTCTGAACTGTGCAAAAACAAGAGTGGTATCAAATAACCAGATGAACAGCAGAGGTATTTATTGGAGAAGAAATCCAACCTCTCTACATCCAGACAACAAAGCTGGAGGCATTCTAACAAGCCTGAATTCTGACTCTCAATTCTGACCTAGCAAGTTTGGATAGCAGGTTTGAGGACAAAAAAAATAAAAATTCCCACATTAAAAAAAAAAATCAGTTCTCAAAAACATTGCATTATTTCAAAACCTACTTTGAAGTTATTTTATTGAGAAAAGAAAGGGAAGGTTGAAAATGTTTAATAATAGTAAAGCTATTTCTTTCAGTAGGTTTTACTCCAACTTCTGTACTAATCCTCACTAGACATTACAACCCATTGATATGCCCACAGCCAGCTCCTTCCATCTCTTACAAGTTCAGCTCCTTATCACTTGACCAAGATAATTTCTTTGAGGGTTTAGTCTTGCAAATTACTGATATTCTGCCCCCAGTCTCCAAAGCACTTGGACAGACATTAGTCTTCAGTGAAACTGCTGATGGAGTTAGAGTTAAGACTTGTTTTGGATCAGGGCCAGAGCAGGTTTTTCTTCCCAGGATTAAGTCCTAAATCTCCCTGCAGAAATGGTTCAGTTCCAGGTTTTTTTACCCATTGTTTTGTTCATTTGCTTTCATCTTTTGGAGGAAAATCAAGGCCTAAGGCCTGGCTCACTCATATATTGTTGCTCTTTTACATGAGCATAACAACTTCAATGAAGTGTCTTAAATCAAATCTGGGAAAATGATTATCTGGGTGAATGGATGTGTTTATGCACTGCTGGTTTCAGACAGCTGGTCACCAGGAAAAAAAACTCTTCCCCACTGTAAACTTGCATAAAACTGTAGCAAAGTATGATTTTTTATCCTCTTTGTGATAAGAATAAAGTAAGCACAGGGTCTTTGCCAACAAGATAATCACAAGCTCTTCCTGATAACATCAGCCAAGAGGGTCTAAACAAGCAAGAAAGCAAGGGAATTAAAACCCATTATTCCAATAAGATTTAGAGGCCTGCATGTTTAAGGGTGATGATTAATTTTTAGATGTAGCAAGTTTAAAAAACAAATTAACAACATTTCTGGCAAAAATTACTGAGGCAGAAATCTGTGGCATGCCAGGGAATAAATTCTCATTTTTGTGGGTGAGGTGTTGGAAAATTTTGGTTTTCTTTGTTCTAATTGATTTCAAAACATATCAGAGTGAGCTCTTCACATTGCTCGAGACTTCAACTCCTGTGCAATTTCACTGTGGTTTTTTCAGTTTAAAATTATCTGACAGAATTTTCTGAGTAATATCACTGACACCATTTTATTGCATGTTGATGGGCAAAATCTGCTCTGTCCCTGCCTTGCCAAAAGGATGCAGAATGAGCGATGCAATCTCTTGACTTCCATGGAGTTTCTCTCCATAGCTCTGATCAAAGTTCAGTCTAAACTTCAGCATGCCAGTGGATTTTCAGCTCACAGCGGTTCTTGCAGTTAAACAGAGCAGTAGAAAGTAATCACATGTCATGGCAAAGCTCATCTCATACTGGCTGTGTAACAGAAAAACTACACAAGAAGCAAAGCAAACCCTTTCAAAGTCAATCATGATCTAGGGGAAATTAATCATCTGGCAAAAGCTCCATCCTCTATTTATCAGCTGAAATGCATCTTGTCTAATCTAGTAAACAACAACAGCGGTTCAAATTCACTTTAAGGCAAATCATTCTAAGCACATTGCTTCTACTTTCATCTCAATAAAAGTGCTAGAATTTTCAATATTTGGTATTTTTATTAAAGACACAAACTGCGTTGAATGTAGTAAGTGATTAGTGAATCCTGGTTTTCTTCAATATTTTGAGCTCTTAGTGTCTCTCTTTCAAAGAATTATTATTTGACCATCCCAACAAAAGCCCAGGTGGCTATTGAGCAAGTGTATCTAGGCACATATTTCTGTGAGGAAAGAATGCTTCTGGCTAAATCTAATATAATTAAGGACTGCTACACATGATCCCTCAAACAAAATCTGCTTTGGTAGAAATCAATGCCAGGATGCATGTTAATTCTTTAATGGCAATATTAATGCAATCTTGTGTGAGCTGTTCCTTCAGGGTATGCTTTAACTAAGACATGCAGTGAGGCTTTTCAGCAAGAAAAGCAAGCTGGGCTGGTCAGGGAATAGGTGTATCTTGAGAGCATCTCATTGCAGATCAGTACAATAATAATGTATCCTGAATAGATAATAATTATTATTCTGAATAATTGGATCTGTTCCACTGCCAGCACAAGTCCCTGATAGAGCCAGGGCCAAGATAAGCTGCCTACATTTATATTCCTGGAGGGAGATAGGAGGAGATACCCTTGCTGCCACATGGCTCCCAGATGCATTTTGGGGAAAGGAAAGCAGACTTTGACTCCTGGAGTACACTGGGCTCTGTCCTTGACTAATGTAAAAACAGATCTGGACCTAAGAACTATTCCTGGGTTCTGGAGTCTGGGTGTAGCCTAACTTAAACAGAAAGTAAAAAATGGATTAAAAAAATTAGAAATCTGAAATTCTAGTAGTGGCTTTTTAAGTACCATAATTAAAAATCTATTTTACTGATGTCCCTTCCTATGGATGAATGTTACAGAATATTGTTGTGGTACCTGCACTGCATGCAACTCCTGCAAGGAAAGCTGCTGCCTTTCACAGCAGCTGCAGCTCCCAAACCCACCTGAATTATCTCTCTGTTTACAAGGCATTGCAATATAAATGAAACTCTTCTGTACAGTTTCAGATCAAATATCCATCTTGTGAGCTGTTTAAGTACATTGCATTAAAAAGAACCAAAAAAAACAACACAAGAACCACACACACACTACAAAATTCCAGGTTTAATTTACCCAAAAGCCTCCATAATTCACCTTCAGTGATACATTCCTTAATTATATGATGCAAATGATTATTTTCCTCCTGGAACTCGGCCTTTTCCACCAAGCCTCACCCTGAAGGACAATGTGGCAGATAATCCACCTAAGGAGCACCTTCCTCCCAGACCTGGCTCCTGAAGCCTTTAGGACTAATTAAGGCCATAACAACCAGCAAAACTTGCCTATTGGCAAAGAGCACAGCTCCAGGACTGCATTCCATATTCCTTGCCACAGTGAGCTCTAGCTGTAGCTCTAAGGAGCAGCACAGCTGTAAAATACCTGAATCCAGGTCAAAATTGTCTTAAAACCCAGCCTCTGTGTGTGTGTGTGTGTGTACCCACTTTCCCTTTCTCAAATCCAGGTCAAAATTCATCACATCTGACTTCAAGCCTTCCCCAGCAAGTTTTGCACAAGACCTGCAGCTTGTGCAGGGAAAAAAGTCTCCATGCAGCAAGAACTCCCAAGCCCACATAAGATAAAATACCATGTGCTCATGCTCAACAAGATGAAGTAAAGCCAGAAATCCCATGGGTTATGAAGTCACAGACCTAAAAATACTACAGGCTTTTGACACGTCAGAGAAGCCATTACCAGTACATTTCTGCAGCCTGTCTGAGCTTGGTTATACAAGGAGAAGAGGTTTGTGCTGTTTCATTGAAGGTAGAAGTGAGCATGAGTTTACAACAAAGAAGAGACATCACCCATGGCCTGCTACAAATCTGCTGGAAAATTCACTCACACACTGCTGACCCTTAGGAATACAGAACTCAGATAGCTCTTCCTTGGTCAAGCCTTACCCTTAAAAATTTTGCTTTAAAAGCTGAGATTTTTCACAGAGGAAAAAACACAATTCATTAATTTTTGTAACTGACATTGATTCTACTTAATAAAAGTCAAAGTAAGAAATACTGGAGAGATAAATTCTATCGTTGAATAAAACTGCCTATCATCTTTTGCACTTTGCCATGATTTACCTGTAATCCCAATAAATGTATTATGTCAACCTTCAACATGCATAAAATCTACTTTTTCATTACAAAAATGTAAAAAATATTCAGTCACTGAAAGTCTCCCTGTTATTGCTGTTGTTGAAGAATTTCAAAACTGCAACAATCAATCCTTTCTGCAATGTAAACAAGTATATTCTTCAAATCTTTCAAAAAAACCACAACATTGGACTCTCCACAGCCTTCAACTCTGCCATTCAGGTCTTCAGAACAGGCACAGGAACAATGAATTAATTATTTTTCAACAATGGAAAATGGACAACTTGGGATACATTTGAGTAATTACCTGGTTTGAAGGATCAGTAGCCAAAATCAAAAACACGTCCTTTAAAACAGCAGTAATTGTTCTTCCATCTGAAAGAAAAATGAAAATATTGTTACCTAAACAGGAAGCTTTAAGCTCAACATAACTCAACAAGTGGGTGAATGTTGGAAAGCAGAACTTTTATGTGAAATCTGAATTGTGTAGTTTCTACTCCAGTCTACTCTTCTTCTGTAACAAATAGACCCCTGGTTTTAGACATTTCTACTTCTTAAAGAGGAACATTTTTTAAAAGCCTTTAATTCTAAGTAACTATGGTGCAATTATTTTAATTATTTTTTACTCAATTTATAGGCCATTATCTTAGTCTGTCATTAGTAATTGATGGAAAAATTTTCCTATGCAGAAACAAAGTAGGCCTTATGGCAATAAGTACTATCTTTAGGAATCTATAAAAAATGTTTTTGTCTATTCCTGCCAGAAAGCATGACCTCTTTTTAATGATAAAATTATCATAATTATTGAATAGCATAATTACAGTCAACTCATGTAAGCATGCCACTTTCTAAAAAATAATTACACAAAGGCATTGAAATACACAAAATTAAAGCTCAGACCACAGAACTCTGGAAAAAATTCAGGTTGGATGCCACCTCTAGCTCAGCCTCCTGCTAGAAGCAGGCTCAGCCCTGGATGCAGACCTGTCTGCCCACAGCTTCTTCAGCTGGGTGTTAAAAAAAGATTGCAAAACAGAGTCTGCAGCCTCTCTGGTAGCCCTTTCCAAGGTCTGATTGTCCTCTGGGTGATATTTTTCTCCTTTATGTCAAGCCAGAAGCCTGCAGCACCCAGTGCTGACTTTAGGGGTCCAGCCCTGCTGAGCCTCAGGAATGCACAAATTCCAGTGCATTCAGGGGCAGGAAGACACAGCATGATGTGGAATAACTCCCAAATGAGGTTGTCATCCTTGCACAGGACCCTGGTTTTAAAAGTGGTGCTTAAATATGAAAGTTGCTGTTTAAGAACAAGAGCATCAAACAGAGAGATGTCTTTAGTAAGCATAATTCAAACCAAATAACTCAAAAACCACTCAAACCCTATTGCAAACAAATGTTTCCAATACTTTTTTCAGATATTCACAAGTAACTGATAAAGCTGTTCAGAATTCAAGTATTAAACTGGGTAGATATAAGATATGAAGATTCTCCACCTGCTTCTTGTTGGAAATGCTCCCTCAGACAGTATCACTGTCCTACACATCAGAGATAAAACATTTCTTATTATGATTTGGCTACAGAGCTCCAATGCTATTCTACTGTCTCAGCAGTTTCAAACCCAACACATTACAAAGAAGCCACTAATGGTCTATTTTTGGGTGCATTTTTTTGGTTTTGTGGGGGTTTTTTGTTGTTGTGGTGGTTGTTCTGTTTCTCCTATGAATTAAATAAAAATATTCCAAGAGATTTGGTAAGGTCCCTTTCTAGAAGTTTCCTCTCTGTGCCAGAAACTGGCTGGCGATCGCATTTCAAAGCCTTACACCACACAGAGCACACAATGAACCCAATAAATTCAGAGCTCACAACAATTTGTGGTTGATGCAGCTATTAATAAATGTTTCTACAAGTCAGTATCCCTACATACCATCCCCTTACCTGGCACAGGAGTAGGAAGACACCCAAGGGAGTTATGAGTCTTAACAGGCAAAGGCATTAATTCCAAATGGCAAAGGGAGGCTAACCCTCTTTGCTCCCTTTATAAGCAGAGATCAGGATTTGCTGCTGTTAAACCAGAAATCAGGCTCTGCAGGTGTCCTGAGTTACCTGCAGGACTCCTCCCTTTTCTCCACTGGCAACAGAGCAGCACTCAGATGAGTCTCCTCTCCTTAAATGAAAGCCCTCCAAAATGATGAAACCACATCCCCAGTTTTTGGTTGTTTCCCGGGTAGTTAAAATGTGTTTTTTCAAGTTGGAATACACAGAAAGCAGGATTTAATGAACAGTCCTGCTGCTAGTGCTAGTTTAGCTCTGCAGATTTTACACACCCTTCCAATTAGTCATGTGAAAAATGAACAAAATCAGGAAAATATTTCAAAATGTAGGCTGAGTGTTCAACTCTTGGTACAAATGAAAGACAAATTTGCACCCCCATTAGGGAATTTCTATGCATAAACAGTCTAATTTTAAGAGCTATGTTTCTTCCATAGACATTAATCTAACAGCATTTTAATAGCTGAAAGCAGCACCTACACCAGGTTTCTCTAATTATCATTCAGAAGAAGCTTGCAAGTAATTAGTAGCTTTAAATTTCTTGGTACCATCTGTAACCAGTAACTTAATCAGAGTTTTAACACAGTAGAAGGGTTGTAAAGAATAAATCGCTTTCTCTCTCGAAGGCAAACATTTTTACACTGGATTATTTTCAGAGGTTATTTTTAGTTTGGCTGGATAGTTAGCAGAGTTTTGGTGCTTGTAAGATTTCCATAAGTCATGGAAGAAGGTGGCTTAATGATGCAGATGGAACAGGGTCATGGAATGCACATGCTGCCTGCCTTAAAAAAAAAGACATAAAACACGTTCCTCTCCCCATGGCATGCCTTGAAAACCTAAAAGGGTTTTTTTATCTTTGTTTTACTTGAAAGTCAGCCTAGTAATTCAAATTTCTAAATGCAGCTTGTGCCTTTTAAGAGGTGCCACCCTGAGCCCCACGTTCAATAGCCGTGTGCCTCTGGGGATGGTCATTTCAGTGAAAGGGTTGTGGTTGTCAGGGGGACAACAGTGGACCAAGCTGTCTGCCCCATTCAGGATCAAGAGAAAGTGCAATCAAGCCCTTTATTTAGCTGCAGGTGATGATGGTGATTGCCTCAGATCTTATAATAAAGCCAGACAGACCATAGTTCACAATTAAAGTGGCTGTAAAAGGTCTTGGTTGTAAAAGTGGGAGGAAGACAAAACCAGGAGTTAAGGCAGAGTTTGTTGAGTGAAAAACTCTTAGGAGTGACGCATATGAAGCTTTTCAGAATGCTGCTGTTGTGGTCTGGAGATCAAAAAATTACCCATGTAGCAAAAGTGCATACAAGATTGTACCATAATATATGTAAGTTTAGTAAATTTCTTATCTTCTGTGAAAACAAGAATGAAAGCCACAAACTTTCCTGGTAGGTTACATCACAGAGAATAGGCATGCCAAATTTTGAACTCCTGGAGGGGAGTCCCACCCCTCCAGCTGCAGGACAGTCACTTCTTGGGAAACAGGGATGGACCTTGAGAACGAAATCTTCAACATTTCAGTTGGCAAAAGGACTTATTTGACCAATAGTAAATGGTTCCATCTAAGCTACTTAACTAAAATCACAAGCAATGGGAAAAAAAAAAAGAGAAAAAAAAAGAAAAAGGAGTGTGCTAAACTCAATGCATCTCACCAAAATAGGTGACTTTGACTCTAAGCAGAGGTAGGATGCCTGTGACCAATCTCCAGCTGGATGAGAAGGGTGGCTGGAAGTAGATCATATCAGCAGCAAATTGTTAGGTTTAACTGAACCACTGGAACCTCCAAGTTGCCTTCAGAGCCAAAGAAGATGAAGTTAGAAGTAACTCCATGGACTGCAGAAAATGAGATCAGCAGCTTGGAGTGGATGTGCATTAAATGGCTTTAAAAGGTAGATGAAATAACCCAGCCAGCCCTGGCTGTTTTGAGCAGGACACTGTGAGCAGTCACAGCCAGCATGACACATGCAGCCACAAACACTCTCCACATGATGAGCTTGTACTCAGGCTGGCCTCTCAGCCTGTCTGCTGACTGAACCAGGAGAGGAAACAACATAAAGCAGCTTGGACACAGACCCATACCCACCCCACAGGCAGGATGGATGGGATGGGGCCTCCCAGTTTGGCTGCCTGTTGGAAACCTCTAACACAAAGCCAGTATTTACAAAATACTGAATCTGAACATCAGCCTCCTAGGAGAGATGTCAGATTCCACATCCACTCATTAAACCACTCACAAGATGAATACTGCTCCAATTAACAGTACTTTTAGGCAAGAGTTGGTGTTTTCAAAAGCAACAGAGAACTCAGAAAATGTGCATAAGAATTCTTCATTAATATCATGACCTCTAAAAGACTTCCTGAACATACATCGAAAAATTTGAAAGGCAAATACCTTTCAACATTTTTTTCACCAATATTTTTGTGTTAGCAAAGGATGAACTTCAATAGTAATACCTGAAGCCATTTCTGCTCTATTCACCAGTATTACTTCAGCAAAAAGAGCTATACTTTGTGCATCTCTTTGTTTTGGCTCAAGGTCAGCAGTGAGCTGCTGTTTTGGTGTTTCAGTCTGGAAAACAACAGAAAAGTCTTAATCTTTCATCCTTTTCTACAAGGATATTCTTCAGACAAACTCTGTCCTTTACCAGATGGAAATAGAATATATAAACAGAAATAATTTTGACTGTGGGAAAGGTACTGGTCTTTTTTGTTTAAGATTTCACAGTTTGGAATAAATTTCATCCTCACCAGCCAAAATATTATAAAATTCTTATAACTAAGCTATTTCATTTGATATATTTTTCCCTGTTCCCATTTGCTCTGCACCTGTATGCATTAAAATGCTGAACTGCAATCTTGTGTGACTGGAGAAAAAGTGCTATTTCATTCCTGAGAAAGATCATTCAGATAACAAATGAAAAAAAAACACAATTTACCACTGGACAGTGTGTTCTGTAACCGTGCAGGAACATGGCAGCTATATTCATTGTTCTAAATTATAAGTTTCCTGTAGAATTTATATTTCTAACTGAAGCCAAAACAGAAGATAAATTCTACTAATTTTAAGTATTACCTCTAAGTATTTCAAAATGGAACGTTTATTCTTTTAATCTTTTTTTTTCTGACTACATCCCAAAACATTTAATGAATTTTTAAAATACATTTTATTATGGATGGTACCATACTAATTAAGGGTACAGCACAGGCATTAGAGAATAGTGTTTCTTAAGGAGTACACTTCATTGTGTTCCTGCAGTCTTACCATCAATGCATACTGAAATAATGAACAGTTTAAATAAAGTAGTGACTGCTTATTTAGTTAATCTCCGTAAAAATGTTACACTGTTTTCCATGGGATTCGTGTTTATATGAAGATGGGAACACTGGGTAAAGGACTAGAGACTTAATCTTAGGGGGGTTTTTTTCCCGCAGTTTAATTACTGCTTTTTATTGAATCCTTCAAGTGCCATCCATTGAGAAGAGAGTCCATAGAAATTCAACATGTGCTTAAAAGATTTTGAAAATCTGGCATTACTAGTTGCTTTTTAAAGTAGGTCCTTTCAGAGCTATCTACAGGATAACGCGCTGGGAAATTTGGGCTTGTAGCATCAATTTTTTACCAATTTCTTCCTTTTCATTGGAGGGAAGCTCTGACTGCTTCTCTCATTCTGTCCTAAGAAACTTTTATGTTGGTTTATTAATCCTTCGTTTACAAATGGTGCCTAAAGGTCTTTGTTAATGCCTGAAACAAAGTCTCAAAGACCAGTTCCCAGAAACTTTGACAGGGAATATGGTAATAGTAATTAGTACCCAAAAGCTAAACTAATCAGCAGTAATGATTTCCAGATGAGGATGGATGATCCCTCAGCACCATCACCTCATGTCCTACAGTCACAGAGCAGCACAGAAACTCTCAGCATCTGTTACCAGCTACAGCTACAGCTCTTTCCTAAGGCTGGAGGAGCTGATTACCTTCACCAGCTGTGCCCTGCACAGAGAGGAGTCTGAGGCTCCTAAATTCCACATTATGAACTCAGGGATAGTTCTAAGAAAGTATTTGGATGACACTAACACGTCAAGTATTCCAATAGTTGGGCAGGTTTTTCTTTTAGAATTTGCACCAAAATATTGTGGAGAAAAGTGAGATATAAATCCCAGTGTATCATTCTCTAAAATACCAACAAAGAGAAGGAAGATACTTTAAGGCAAAATTACATAGTCCAAGTACACAGGGAAGGAGAGAAGAAATAATTTATCTCCCAACAGCCCCCAACAGTGAACCAGATTTGACAGCAGATCATCCAGTCCTTGACTGAAAATTGTACTTAGTACTTTTCCTTCAGGGTGTTTAGAAGAAGTGTCACCATCCCAGTGACATGAATTGCACAGAGGCCACTCCAGCTGAGGAGCACTTGGGTGCACAAAGGTTGGTTTCGCACCACAACACACTCCCAGCCTTGCCCTGGAAGACAGCTGGTGGATTTGGATAGATGGAGAAGGACAAAGATTGTAAAATATTCCTTAGCACAATAGGCAGTGGTCATAATATATTTGCAGACAAACATTTCTCAAATTGATGTTAAGTATTATGGCAAGAAGGGATTTTAAGAGCTAGACTCGAAGGAGGATGATGAATTATCTTTATGTGAGCCTCTCCCAAGCACAGCAGACAGGACAGGGGAAAGCACATCTGTGGAGAATTTATAAACATCAAAGTGTCTCTTGGGCCAAGGTCACACTCCCACAGAGCAGTGTATTGTGACACCCTGTAAGGACAGGCAGACATACTCTAAGCTAAGGAGCAGCCCACACTCAAGATTTACCTGGCAGTGCATTCCTGAGCTCATTTAAACACTGGCCCTGAGAGTGGACTTGCATCTGAAGGATTTTGGTAGGATAAAAAGGATCTGATCAGGCACAGATGAAGATTCCTATTTAAAATCCACATCAGCCTATGTCTCCCCTTGATACAAGTACAGAACTGTTTTACAGAACATGAAATGGCTCCAGTGAAGGAAACAGGTAA